GAAACAATACTCTGTGCTTCTCTATGAGCACACACCCTTCTACTTTGTTAGTGGAAGGATGAGACCCCACTCTGTTTTTTTCTTTTGAAGTTCAGGAGGAGGATGGTCTGTTTCTTGATATTCTGTGAGTTCATTAACTCTCCCTGCTGTCTCCTGAGTGCTGGGATGACAAGCACACACAATATCAGCTTAGCTCTACTTCTTGATAGCAGATATTTGAGGAATGAACTAGTCGATAGAAGAATTAGGATCTTTCTTTTTCCAGGCACTGGGATGGATATGGATGTAACATGTCAGGGTGAAACTCTTCTCACTCCAGCAACTTCTGAAACCATGCCTAGAGAGACCAAATTTTTTCAGGGTCTCATTTAGAAATTTGGACCTTTTCTGCTCACATATTCATTCTGCTTTATTGCTTTAGACTCTTCGTGGAGAAACTGAGAAATTTCCCAGAATACTGGAACTCCCTTTCCAAGGGAACACGATCCAAAATCAACAAGGTGGGTCTTCTTTGTGTATGTGGTAGACCTAAATATCCAGAGTCACAGGGAGCTACTTAGCGAAAAGTCACAGATCCTGTCCCTGGGTAAACAGGACATCTCTCTGCATCACAATACAGAAGAAAGGGATGGTAGCATATTGGGGTCAAGTCATAAATAAGATTCTGACATCTCATGGAACTAGATTGTATCCCCAGTGCAGGAAGGGACTTTTAGAGCCTATTCTCCATGGAATGATACTTCTTTAACATGGAGACACGGGGTGGTGGGGAGCCTAAACCCTATCACAATTGATTTAACAGTCTTTGATGATTCCTCATGGAAGGCCTCACCCTCTCTGGGGAGTGGAAGGGGGATGGGATGGGTAGGGGTCTGTGTGGGGAATGGGATGATAGGAGTGAGATGGAACTGGAATAGATATATAAAATAAGAAAAAATATTAAATTTTAAAAAAAGTTTCATAAGTCCCTTCCCATTTGTTTTCTTCCCCCCTTTGCTGACATTAGATCAGGTCTAATTCTTCCTTTCTGTTTTGTGTTGCAGACAATACATAGGGTCTTTGACATAGTTGAGGCCCTGAAGAGACAACTCCTGAAGCAATATAGCGAGGAGTATTCAGAATACCTGGCAGATAAGGTCAGTGTGTGAGCATGAAGACAGGATGTTTTTGTATCACTTAATCAGCCTGTGACCTGGGACTGTGTTTTACTGTCAGCGGAGGTTGTGATCCAAGGAATAGGGTCTACACACACTTGCAAACATATGCACTCATACCTATAGAGGACAACACACACATGCACGTACCCATGTACCTATTTACACACCCATATATTCATGCATATTCACTGTCACAGATACATACACCCCAAGTGTATTATGGTTCTGAGAACATGGAGGCCAAATTGTCCCTTAAGAAAGCCTTACAGTAACTGAGTAAAGGGGTGTTGGTTGTTTTTCATAGTACCAGGGTGATGGAGGTGAGCATAGATGCTGTGGTGATTTGTCATACCTGAACACAACTTCCTTTGTTCATCTCTTTATTGGCAGGTCTTTTTGTTCTGACTTTTGAAATATTAGACTAATCCCATTTTTCTTCCCATAGAAAAAAAGAGAAGAAGAAGAGGCTGAAAATAAGGCCTTTTGGCATGAAGTAAGAGATACCATCAAACACTCTGCACACTTTTCCAAATGGAGTGCTCTTGTAGACAGGCTGGTGGATGGAGTCGAGAAAGACTGGAGCGGGGAGGTGATTCCCAGCCTGGCATTGGCACTTAAAAGTGCTAAAGTGTCCTCTGAAGAAAGCACTGTTATTACAATGTCAGTGCCATGCAGTCCACAAGAATCCATGAAAGATATCACAAGGGGCCCATCATCAGACACACAGAGTGGAGAGTTGAAGATGGTGGAAAGCCCAGGTAAGTCACCACATGTTCATGACTTTAAAGACTTATGTTTAAAAGGAGCCTATTGCACCCGGATCAGCCACACACATTTGCGAGTGCACCTCACCAGTCTAGTAACACTGCACTTTTTAAGAGGTGTCTGAAGTTGGGAGCACTGAGCAGCACAGAGAAAACATCATGCCCCTTGCAATGTTCCTAGTCTTTGTCTTGCCTGGATCCTCTTTGCTGTGTTAAAAGAACCTCGAGTGACCAGTGTTGTCTCTTTCCTTCCAGCCACTCTGACTTCCTGTAAAAGAAGCCTTTAACTTAGTTTAAGCCAGATCAGTTTCTTCCAATCAGATCCCCACCTCTTCAGAGCTCTGTAGAGAATAGAGGAAGCACTTTTAATAAATACTGATATTGCTCATCGTGAGGACTGTGCTGTGCATTAGTATTCCTAAAAGACAATTGTGTTGCATGAAATTACATTTTCAGCATTAGGTAGACCTCTGTAGGAAATCCTCAAATATGTCAGGAAGGTAATGACACTGATTGAAGTGCTAGCTGTGACAGCCTCAGAACCTGGGGAGGAATCTCCAGAAAGCACCTGACAATTGGGTATGGGTGGCCAACTGTATATTCAAAGTTGTCTTCAGGTGACATGGGACAGAGAAACAGAGAAGACCTTGTTTCTCACAGCACAGCTAGCTGGGAAGACACAGACCACAGATAGATTCTGTTGGACTAACAGTGCCAGGGAAGGTCTCAACCACAGTCAGTCTGCTTGCATCTACAGATGTGCTCAAATATCTGCGAATCATTACCCACATATGAACATGCACATTCTGAAAAATGCACAGATATCATTGACATGTGCAAACACATGGTTCATATAAGACTGAATTCAAAGGGGAAATCATGAATACTGAAGTAAAAAAAAGTTCTCAAATATGTCACCTAATTACTTTATTACTTTTATTTTTTATTTGTATTATTGGCTTTACAGCCTAAATAGGCCTCAGTTGAAATCCTGGACTCTCACCGAGGAAATGCTTAAAATCCAAATATGCCACTATTGGACTGGATTTTTACAAGTTTCTAAATTATTGGTTGCTTCTTGTCTGGGCTGGCATGAGTCAAATCTCTACTTGAATGCCAACCTCAAGCAAATTACATTTCCCTTTTTAATTATGAATTGGTGAGAGTCAGACTTTCCCAGCTGTGGGCCTGTGTATTCAATAACCCACATATTTACAGATGAGAATAGAGGGTCAGTCTTACAGATCCTTAAGCCTGTGCATGTAGCAGTCTACACATCTGCATAATATAACATGGGAGCAGAAGTAAGCTATGCTGTTCCTTTTGGAATGTAGAAACAACCAGGAAAGAATGAGTGGTCTCAGCTGAGTTGCGAAACCTGTCCCAGACACTTTGCTGAGTTTAGTGCATCATCTTCACTCAACCCTGGAGTGTAGAATGCAACATTTCTTGGTTGTGTGTGCACATGATGTTCTAGGTTCTCAAAGGTCTCCCCCATCGCTACAACATGCCCTATTTGGGACTCTCAATGGTGCTATGACCTTGAGAAAGACTGTGTATGTTTCCATGTAATTTCAAACTCTTAAAATTTGACTGTGTTTCTGGTCAACACGACATAACATGCCCTCTAAAAGCTTTCTTCAAAGTCAAGATATAGAATGATAGTAGGTAGGGTTAGTCTATGTCAGAAAGGCATAGGAGAAGAATGTCACTCTTATAAGACTCAGTCTCAAGTGAAATGAGGACTCAGGGAAATGTACCTCCAGACCTGAGAGTGCAGAGGCCACCAGACCTGAAGAGCTGAACCATGGACAAAGAAGACATGTCTGTTTGAGGAGAGTCGTGTTGGAAGTGTACCATTTTTTCTGTGTGTTGTCCTATTGAGCTTCCAAAGGGGTACATGTTACCCTCGTGAGTTTAGAGGGGACTTTGACCACGGAGTCTGTGAACCCACAAAAAACCTTATTACAGGCAACTCTCAGTCACACCTAGAAATAGGTTCGTCCATCCACTCTAGCCAACATTGAATTCCATGCTCACATTGAACTCTGGCCAGAGCTTTGAGAAGAAACTCCTTGCCTGCTTTGTTCTTCTATTATATGTAGAGGGCTCCTGGAGAGATACCCCAATATCTTTGTGATTTTCCTCCAGGCCACCATGCTGAGCTCTGCTCAGGGACACCAGATCCTGTAACCTCAGACTTGTCTCTCTTTTCCATTGCAGTTCAGAACTCCAGAGGCCTCCGAACTGTGGTCATTCCAAAGGACCTTTGTGATAAGTTTCTGCGTTGTGCACGGAAGAACACCAGGAAAGGCATAGAGACATGCGGTGTATTATGTGGAACCATGGTAAATATATGAACACTCCTTCCTGATCTGAGGCTGTTTCTTTTTCCCCTTCGGCTGCCCATGACTCCCAGAGAATGTATCTTGGGGCTGTATCCATACATATCCCTCAACAGAAGGAACCATGTGTGAAATGACATTAGCTAACTTGAATTTTATGACTTTGTATTAGGTTGCTTTTCAGAGGTCCTTGACTTGAACATTTTCATTCAGTGGCATAGTTAGAAATTTTCATTCTACTCAGGGCTGGTGCCTGTAATCCCAGTCACTGGCAAACTGAGATGGAGGCCACCTAAAAGTTCAACTCGGCTCACAAACAGAATGAGACACTGAAGTAAAAGCAGCTTGACTTGGAGACAGGAATGTGAGAATGAGGAGTGGAGACAGCACCTTGGCTAATTATAAAAGGGAACACTCAAAACTTTATGTGGCCTGGTGATTGCCTACTCTGTGGTAATGCATAGAATAGAAATTAAACACCTCAGGACCTGTGAGCAGACTTAATGCCAGCTGCAGACAAATCCCTTGATCTAGGTTGTGCGATGGGAGACATCTCATGCTCATCTTATCATCTCTGCGTTTATATGGAATCCCAGCAAAGTATAGGAGCAGTCAAGTTGGGGAATCATTTGGGTGAGGGAGAATGATGAGGGTCATCCACTGGGGTGAGGGCTTCACTTATTTATGGGAAGTGGGATTGGCAGTAACTGTAACTAGTTGTTTCCTTGTGGCAGGTCAAAGAAGAATACCATGTGACCCATGTAATTATTCCTGTGCAGACAGCAGGCCCTGATTATTGTTATGCCCAGAAGGAGGAAGAAATATTTTTTAAGCAAGAGGAACTGGGCCTTCTGACCTTAGGTTGGATCCATGTAAGCAAATTGATCTCACTGATGGCGAGCTGCTCTTCCAAGTGCACAGCCCAGATCTGTGTTTTCATAGCCAACACATTGCAGTTCTTCAGTCTCTTTGCACATACACTTACAAGTGTTCTAGTGTTTAGTCAAAGGCACATTCCTTTGTGAATTTCAGCTTTACTAATTTACATCTTAATCAGTGTAGTTTTTCAATGTTCCACATCCTTGTGAGTGGGTTGTGCATTTTTGCCTCCCTAGGAGGTAGGAAAACATGCTGTAGACACCATCTACCAAAGAGCTACATGGAAGTACTTCACTGAGTCAAGAGAGATCACTCTCATGATTTGATTTTGCCTTTATGAAGACGTACTTGTTTTGTGTACAACCAAAGAGCTTCTTCATGCAAAGTTGAATCCACCTTTGCTTATTTATATACAATGTCAGATGGAATTATGTTCTGTGAAGCTTCAGGAAGGCAGGAGATAATCCCCTGGAGGCTTTTGTTTGCAGAGATTCAGAATACCTGTTAATGGTTGAGTGTGACAGAAGGAGAAGTGACTTTCTGACAGCTAACAAGACCTAATGGGGACTGCTTGAACACACTGGGGGATTCTAGATCAAAAGGCTTCAGGAGAACTGCTCATGTGGTTCCCAGAAGCCACAGAGCCGGGACAGTAAGAGAGAGAATTCAGAATGTGACCCAAGGGCCATCTCCATCTGCAAGGGCATTCAGTTCTCATGCTGGAGATGGAGTTCATTGAGGAGTTTGGCCTTTGAGCTTTAAGCAGGACATGGTACCAGAGACTACAAGGTTTAACTAATCCACAGATAACTGAGTATGCTGTCAGAATACTGGAATCCTATCATTCTGGAGGTAAGACTTCTGGATGATGACTTTGGCACCAAAATGTAATAAACAGAAAGAAAGAGGCTTGAAAAAAAATGTGCTGAATTCATGTCTATGGGGGAGTCTCACAGGACTGTCATGTTGTGTCATCATCTAGTAGATCTTAGAGGATAGAAGAGTCATGAGTCCACTCTATGCAGAACTGGTTAAGAGAGTCTTCAAATGTACATGAAGGGGGAATTGGCAAGATCAAGTTTTTTATTTTGTTGATTTTACCAGTTTTTACTTCCTTTTACAAATGTATATTTTAAAATATAGCTAACTTGTAAGTATGCATCTTTGTGAATAATACACTTAGAGAAGGTTACAGGAACCATCCAAGAGCCGGGTCCAGCTTTACAACTTCCTTCTTATGAGATTGATCAACTTCTTCTTCTAATCATCTCTCTCTCTCATTTCATTAGAATTCATATACTAAGTTTGCCTTCCTTCATGATATCAGTATTTCAGTACTGCTTGTGTCTTGAAATGTAGAGGTTAGATATTTGGTTTTTACATCTGGCTTGCTTGTCTTAACATCTGCAATGTTCACCCCTTTGTGGCATGCAGTTGCCTGAGGTGTGCTTGAACCTGGTTGACAATGGAGGAAGGGAGGGAAGCAGCATAAGTTAATGCAACATTACTAGGTTCAGTACCACAAAATAAGACCATATGTGGCTTCTCTTCACATAGGAAGATATCCCACAGCTCTTTATGGCAGGATGGAAGGCAGGGAACTGAAGATCCGCAGAGATTCTTGAACTGAAGTTTTAAATAGTTTGCGAACTCTTGGTTAAGATAGAATAGAATGTACTGATGACAGCAGGGAAGGAGATGTAGATTAGAAGCTGAAGCACAAACCTTGGAATGGTTACTCTTAAGGCATCAGGTATAATTAGGCATGGATGAATACAAGTGTAGGTCTAGTGAGGGAACAGCTAAGAGTAACTGTTTAAAGCTCAGCTTCATTTAACCTTGTAGATGAGGTGACCAAAAGATATCATTTCCTTTTCCTCTCCACCTAGCAGACTAGAGATGTTTCCAGCTTGATTTCAGGTGTCATTGTGGGAGGCAGTGGTTGAAACTCCTTGGGACCTGCTGTGTTGGGTATGTCATGGGGCTTACTGGGATTTCTTGAATTCTTTTGTCTCCATAGACCCATCCAACCCAGACAGCCTTTTTGTCGAGTGTGGATGCACACACACATTTTTGTTATCAGAAGATGCTGCCAGAATCAATTGCAGTGGTGTGTGCACCCAAATATAAACAGTGAGTATGTAGAATTTAAGCCTGGGCAGTACAAGAACAAAATCCTCTATGGCTCAGAACACTGCAAAAACATAGTAATATCCAGAGGGTCTTAACCGAGTGCTATAGAAGCCGCCATTTAAGGTGCACATTCTATCTAACAGCAGCTGCTGTTAACAGATGTGCTGACACCACTGTTGGTTTTCTAAGACAAAGCACCAAGAAGTGACCTCAAGAGTCAGAGGTTGAAGATATTCCACACCAAAAACTGCCAAAGAGGGTCATTGTCAATGCCACATTAGTCTGCATTCCTCAGCAGAGCTAGTGTTGGGAAAGCAGTGTATCATCCTGCAAAGTATTTTTGTACTCTGGATAATGTCTCACAGGATTTAGTGGTCTCAGGTATAAGCACAATCCTATTTATTGCTCACAATGATTGCCCTGAACAGACCTATTTTTTTGGCTTGATTCTTCTTTGTGCTTAATTCTACTGTTGAGTATTTTATTTTAGTCAAACTACAAGTAAAGGACCATGAGAGATTAAAGTCACAGAGAGAGATACACATAATGAGTAGAAAAAGGAGAGGAATGAGAAGGAGAGTAAAGAGAGGAAGAGAAGGGAGGGAGGGCAATTAGGACTATGACAAAGAAGACAAGATCTAACAGAACTTCAATGATAGTGTTGACTAGGAATAGAAGGAAGACATACACATCATCTGTGCGGGAGGAAGCATTGTGCAGATCAGAGCAGAGACAGCAGGAGAGCAGGGGAACAAGTGTAGGTGTGAAAGAGAAAGAAGAGAGGACATAGATAGGAGAGGAGAGAGAGGGAGGAAAGAAAGGGGAAGGGGAGAGAAGAAGAGAGAAAGAGGGAGAGGAGAGAGAGACGAATGAGTGTTGTGGGGATTTCTGTTTGACTGTGAGTCTGCCTTTCTCTTTTCAGAACAGGAATTTTCACACTGACAACTTTTGGATTAAAAGAAATATCAAGCTGCCCCAGGAGGGGATTCCATCCCCATAATCAGGACTCAGCTCTTTTCTGTGTACGTATCTGTGTACAGGAGAAGAAACATAATAACATTGTGATAATACCAAACCCTGTCCCATAAAATTTATAAGAGCCAGGGATGCAACCACAGAGATTCAAGGAAGCTTGAAATCCTGGAATCAGAATGCTAAGTCTAAGATGTAGAACACTCTGTGTGTGATTATATGTATCATAATTAATATCTATATGCATCTGTATAGACTTTTCATCACACTCTGATCCTGACAGAAAATAAGACTTGTACACATTTCAGCTCTACTTTTTAAAAGATATATACACTTTTATATTTCATTATATTTATTCCTGTACTTTCATTGTGTAGCCTTTAAAAACAGACCCTGTTTTTATTTTAATTCGTTTTCTCTGTGAATTTGCACATGGGAGTTTAGAGCCTGTGTGGTAGAAGATGTTTGCAGATGCCCTAGATATGGAGCAAGGCAGTAAGCACTTCCTCCTTCCCTGCAAGAATAGTGGGTGTTGTTAAATCCAGCACTATTCTCCAAGCCCCACTTTGTAACTCATAGTTCAAACCAGGGTGATCAGTTTTTTTGTAGCCAAAAACTTTCTACCAGAACTGTTCAAAATTACCTAGCTCCATTTTGGAGTACACTAATGTTGTTTTTGAGATACTAAAAGATATTGCTGATTTAAAAAATGAATTATCTAGAACATGAGTTCCCAAGTTGCCAATTGTAATGACCCCTTTCATGGCGAAACACACCCATAACATAAGCTCTTGGGCAGCTGCAGTAGGAGATCATCAATTTGAGGCCAGTTGATGTTACATAATAAGACTTTCAGACTGATGATTACCTATCATGTTGTAGACCCAGAGTGACCATCCCCTCAGTGTCATTAAGGTCACCAATACAATCTGATTGATGTAATGACTCCCCTCGAGGTGAATTGGGTCTCCTTTGCCATCTGATGGACATTATGACTCCAATGGAGCACTGAACGTACGCATCTCTAACAACAACCACAACAACAAAAAAGCAACAACAACAACAACAAAATCTATTTGCTATGTGACTCTGGAAAATAGGTGGCAAAGATCCTGAGTTACATGGGGATGTACTCTATTCATGAGGCATGAGGTGAACTAGGTGGGAGTGTTGGGGGCCAGAACATGTGACATTACTTCTAAGGACATCAAGATTTCACCTCTTGGCTGAGAACTGTCTGGCTGCAATGAACTTCTTCAATCAAAGGCTTACTGCTCAGGATGTGGCTCAGTTGTGAGAGTGTTCTAATTTTAAGCATTCGGATCTGAACTCGTTTCCCAGCACTGATGAAAACAGCTGTGCTTATGATTGCCTATAATCCAGCACTGGGGAGCTCGAAGCAGTAGAATATTGTCAGGATCCCCCCCCCCCCCCCGGCTTACCTAGGCTATGTGTGCTAGCCTATGTCACACAAGGATCTCTTTTGGTATAAATAAAATGTACAACTTGTTTCAAAACTGATTTCCAATCCCTAACAATATTTCCCTTTTTCCAATTGCAGGACTGCAGTCATGTCACCATCCAAAACAGCAGGGTGACAATCACGGATTTGCGATGAGTAAATCCCACTGACCCACCTCAGTGGGAGCCTGTGTGTGTGTGTGTGTGTGTGTGTGTGTGTGTGTGTGTGTGTGTTTGTGTGTATGAGTATGTGTTTAGTGCATTTGTGTGTGTGTGTGTGTGTGTATTTTGTGTATATGTGACTGAATGTGTGGTGGTGTGTATCTGTGTATGTATATTAACCTGTGTCATGTATGTTACATCAGTGTTAAGGATGTCAATGGTATGGTAGGTATTTATGGCACACTGTGTTCATTCACAGAGCCCA